ATTATTTGTCAGTGTCACGCCATTCACAGTTTCTTCATATCGGACATTCGTCTTCGTTCTTACCGAGGCATGTCATCGTGATTCATTCTCAGCTGAGGAAACACGTCGAAGCGTGCTAATTATCTTGTTCCTCTACTTTGTCAATGAAGTGTATTACCTCGGAAAATTTACGTTCTACACATTCCTGTTATTTTTTCATTTATGTACTTTGCATGTGCTGTACTATAACTGTCGCAGTTAGGTTGATTATACAGTATTTCGGATTTTCCCATGATTAAGTGGATGACATCTTGTCAGAGCTGATATTGATTTGAGTAGGTGATAAACGAGTATTTTCTCATTTCTATTTTCTTATAAAGGAAATTTGTTTCGAGAAGAGTAAGGTGGATATGTGATATAATTTGTGGATGTGAAGATATGAGGCTTAGACGGTATGGGAATGTGGTGTATAGGGATTTGACATGCAAGGAAGTAAGATATAGGGATTTGGAATAAGGGTGCATGGGGTGTAACATGCATTTAGCTATGTTAGAATTTAAGGGTGTAGGGTTTTGGGGGGTAAGAATTTGAGATATAGGGAGGTGGGATACAGGAAGGTGGGATATAGGAAGCGGGGGTATAGGAAGGTGGGATATAGGAAGCAGGGATATAGGGAGTTGGGATATAGGAAGGTGGGATATAGGAAGCAGGGATATAGAGAGTTGGGATATAGGGAGGTGGAATATAGGAAGCTGGAATACAGGAAGGTGGGATATAGGAGGCGGGGATATAAGAAGGTGGGATATAGGGAGTTGGGATATGGGAAGATGGGATATAGGAAGCAGGGATATAGGGAGTTGGGATATGGGAAGGTAGGATATAGGAAGCAGGGATATAGGGAGGTGGAATTTAAGAAGCTGGGATATAGAGAGCTGGGATATAGGGATCGAACCATATTAGAATTTGGGGATGTAGGATCAGGGGTTATAAGGATTTACGATTGTGGAATTTCGACATATTAGAATTTGAGGGCGTAGAGATCTAAGCATATTACTATTCGATGGTATAGAGATCTGGACATATCAGAATTTGATGGCGTAGAGATTTGGACATGATAGAATTTTATGTTATAGGAATCTAGGGGTGTAGAGATCTGGTACATAGGCATCTAGATATCCTACAATTTGCTGATGTAGTAGTCTGGTAACCTTGTAAGTAGGGATGTGATATGTAGGTATTTGGAATATAGCTATCTGGGCTACCGTGATGCGGACATATTAGAATGTGAGGATATATGGAGCTGATTTGGAATATAGCTATCTGGGATACTGTGATTTGAACATATTAGAATGTGTGGATATGTGGAGTGGAGGAAATAGAAATCTTGTATACGAGGATATAAAGATCTGACGTATAGATCTGACATAGAGACCTGCCATAGAGATCTGACACTTATGGTATAGTACATTTAACCTAACAATTTACACCAGAATCCGTTCCACCACAAAAGTCCAAATTCCGTTCCTACCCAATTTCCTCCACATCCATCACCTGGCATTCCCAATATTTCTTCCAAAGCCCACAATTTCCCGATCGAAGAATTTCAATCCTTCTGTTCCCAATTGCACTCTCCGCTTCCGTCATCTCGGACATTTAAAGATCTGTAAGGTAACATTTTCAGGTCGTAACACTCGGTTATGGTGAGATTTGGTCGAAGCACATTCGAACAGGTTTGCCTTGCAAGGTGAGATGCGTGCTTCTCCCGTTCTCTTTATTCGCCATACCAGTCCGCCCGTTTTCGACTCGCCGCACATACACATACGTTCGCGTGTGTGTGCAGGTGCACAGTGGGCGTACGCAACCTGGAAAGAAGTGCACACCAAGGAAGAGACAGAGCCTGTGGGAAAGTAACGCAATACCATGAGAGCGGCCTGGACCGCTGCTGCCAAACTCCCATAGCGGTGTCCACACATGCCGTAGGCAGTGTGCGAAGCTCGTGGTGCTCGACGGGCTCGCTACGTGCACGAGGATAAAGTGGCTGACCACCGTGATTCCGATCTCTACTCTTTCGCTCTCTTTGCCTTCTTTCTAGCCGAGTTCCCGAGTGCACGCCCGGTTGCGCCGACTCTTCGTGTGCCGCGATTCGATGGAAGATCGTGGACTGTTAATTGAGCCTTGAATAATGCTGAACGTTTAGAGTCTAATTGTGTCTGTTCTTAGAAATATTATACTTGCATTCGTGAGTGTTTTGGAACACGCATTCTGCGAGGTTTTGGATATTTAGGTTAGAGTGGCTGGAAGAAATATTTTGAGTGTGAAGAACAATTTGATGTTTATTAGGGTAGATTTTCAAATTTAGATGGTTGGGATACCTAAGTACGCGAATTTTGACATTCACCAATTCCTACATTTTCCAATTCCCACATTCCCCAATTCCTACATTCCCCAATTTCACATTCCCCAATTTCCACATTCCCCAATTCCACATTCTCCTATTCCACAAGTCCCAATTCCACATACCCCAATTCCACATGCTCCAATTCCACATGCCCCAATTCCACATGCCTCAATTTCCACATACTTCAATTCCACATTCTCCAATTACACATTCTCCAATTCCACATTCCCCAATTCCCACATTCCCCAATTCCACATTCCCCAATTCCACATTCCCCAATTCCACATTCCCCAATTCCACATGCCCCAATTCCACATGCCCCAATTTCCACATGCTCCAATTCCGTATTCCCCAATACTCACATTCCCCAATTCCCACCTTTCCCAATTCCTGCATTTCCCAATTCCTACATTCCCCAATTCCCACATTCCCCAATTCCCGCATTCTCCAGTTCCCATATTCCCCAATTCCCTCATTCCAAAAATGCTCAAATAGCCATATCCCAAATCCCTAATTCCTCAAACTCTTAAATTCTAAACTTCTCTAAATTCCCAAACTTCAAACTCCCCAAATTCCTAACTGTCCAAATGTGCCACAAACTCATTCATGCTCACAATTGCCCCTAATACCAGAACTAGGTTATCTAACCCGAGATAAATATTCCAATTAGCCAAAGATGCCTCCTCTCGCACAAGCAAGTAATTACAGAGATAATACTTATCAAAAAACACAAAAAAAAAAATCCACCATTAGAAATGTTTGTATCTCTAATTTATTCAGTATGTTCTTCATTCACAAATTGTACCGACAAGGTCTGACGCCACCCACAGTATCAAATGTGTTAATTTTCTTTGGTAATACTCGAACATTAAGAGAGGTCGAAGACCCAGAATGTAAGAAAGACGTTCTCGGTCGGCACGATCAAAGGCATTTCGCAGTGATCTCAACCCCTAAAAAGAAGTATGATAAGCAAACACGTTGCAACATGGAAGTCGTAGGTCTCAGTCACGCGTGATATCGCGACTCGTTTCTGCAACACGCGTGCCTTTTGTCGCGAACAACGAGCCTCCTGTGAGAAGCATTTCCTCGAGCGGGTCTGGCTTCGTTCACGATGATCTGGAGGAGAAAATTCAATTAGCTTTGGCAACTAGATCGCTCACGGTGCAGCTGCAATTGGTAAGCAAATTCCATGGGAAACAGTTTTCTGTGAGCTTATACTTCTTGAGTAGAGGAAGAGTTTTAAGAAGCTGAAGAATTTCAAGCATTTTTTATTGTGCTAGTTTGATATACACATTTCCCAATTCCCATATTTCCCAATTCCCACATTCCCAAATTCCACATTCCCCAATTCCACATTCCACATTCCCCAATTCCCACATTCCCCAATTCCAACATTCCCCAATTCCCACATTTACCAATTTCTACATTCTGCAATTCCCACATTCTGCAATTCCCACATTCCCCAATTCCCACATTCCCAAATTCCACATTCCCCAATTCCCATATTCCCCAATTCCACATTCTCCAATTCGCTGCACCCCCATTGTTGCGTTTCCACATCACTATATCCCAAAATTCCTACATTCTGAAATCGGTGCATCCTCAAATCACTATATCCCCAAATTTCTACACCCCTAATTAGTGCATCCCTTCCCAATTTCTACATTCCCTAGTTCCCATATTCCCGAATTCTCGTGTTTCCCATTACTCACATTCCCCAATTCCCACATTTCCCAATTTCTATATTCCCTAGTTCCCATATTCCCGAATTCTCGTGTTTCCCATTACTCACATTCCCCAATTTCTACACGCCCCAATTCCCGATCTAGAGGAGAAAATTCAATTAGCTTTGGCAACTAGATCGCTCACGGTGCAGCCGCAATTGGCAAGCAAATTTCATGGGAAACAGCTTTCTGCGAGCTTATTCTTTTTGAGTAAAGGAAGACTTTCCAGAGGCTGAAGAACTTCAAACATTTTTGATTGTATTAGTTTGATATACGAATTTGATGTACATTATGATACATTAATTTGTTATTGATTTCGAGGTTGTTTAGAAAAATTTCAGCGACTACTTTTCTATCACAAGAGATAAAAATTTTGAAACACAATATTTGGATCACGTATTCGACTCGTGTTTGTTGTTTATAATCTCCTCTCAGTCATTCGATCTTCCAAGGGTTAATCTGTAGGTCAATGTCTTGATATCCTGCTAGATAAGGTCTCAAATATTCCAAACCAATATTGCAAACAAGATATCACTGATTTCATTTTTTCAATTAATGTTACTGATACGATAACCGAAGCCTTGAACTTATAATTGATTAATCAGCAAAATATTACACGTTCTGCATTATTGGTACAAACTCGTCAAGTTGCAAATTTGTAACTTTTAAAACTTCTCAGTGTTTCGTCAGCGCAGGAATCATTATGTAATTCAATATATATTTTGTAATAAAAATATAATTCCAACGCAGTATGCTTTAACAAAAATATAAGTACACATCAGTAATAAAAATTTAATTTCAGTGTCATGAGCAAAATAAAAAGTTTAAAGTCAAAACAAAATTTTAAAGTCACAGATAACTTATAAAAAAAAATACAATTTAAAAAGTACTGTAAAACTCTGGCATACAATGTATTAATAACAATTTCATGAATATGTAAAACGATATAAATTAAAATATCAAGTGCAGATAATCTTCTAAGACACGCATAGTGAAAGGTATCGTCTTCAAACATCCCGTTCGATACGTTTCTAATTCCTGCACCTGTGTTCCGCGAACGATAGGCTTCGAATTACTATGGACCCCATAGAAGGTCTTCTAACAACACAGATCCCACCCAGGTATAATAATACGCTTTCCATGGACCTAACTTGCCATCCAGTGATGTCGAAGCTTTTTGTCGCTGCGGTGACTGAATGAAACACTAGCATCAAACGTGTGAAATCTTCTCACCTGTTAGAAATCTGGAAGAGATTGAAGAGCATAGAGAAGCCAAACCGTGGGAGAAATCGGTAAAAAGATTATCACCGACGAGAAGGAAATTGTTCCTGGTTGCTTCCGGTATGAAAGCAAACGCATAACTTTCGTTCATCTTCTGCTCGAGGAGTTGCGTTCATCGAATCTAGATCGTATCTGAACCGCTAGAAAACGAAACTTTTCTTTTTATGGTTACACGTCTTTGATGAGGCAAAAATTCGCACGCTTTTTCGTTCGTTAATTGTGGTTCGGATGTTAATTAACTTGTTGGCGTAGGCAAATTAGGTATGGAGTGGTAGAAGGGTATGGATTGTTATTGTTCCTTTTTAGGTTTATGGATATTTGGGGGAAGAGAAATTTGGGGAATTTGGAACTAGGGGAATTTGGAACTGTTAGTAATTATAAGCAATTGCTGATAGTATATTAGCAATATATTTTTATATATTGCTTAGAACTATAAGCAATTTGGGAAATTTGAAATTTGCAGAATTTGGAATTTGGGAAATTTGCAACTAAGGGAATTTGGAACTAGGAGGATTTGTAACTAGGGTGAGTTAATACTAGGGGAGTTTGGAATTTTGGGAATTTGCAATTAGGGGGATTTACAACTAAGCGGATTTGGAACTAGGGGAGTTTGGAATTTGGGGAATTTGCAATTAGGGGGATTTACAACTAAGCGGATTTGGAACTAGGGGAATTTGGAATTTGGGGAATTTGCAATTAGGGTGATTTTCAACTAGGGGGATTTGGAACTAGGGCAATTTGGAATTTGGGAAAATTTCAATTAGGGGGATTTGGAACTAGAGGAATTTGGAACTTTGGGAAATCTGGAACTAGGGGGATTTGGAACTAAAGGAATTTGGAACTAAGGGAATTTGGAGCTACGGGGATTTGGCACTAGGGGAATTTGGAACTAGGGGAATTTGGAGCTAGAGGAATTTGGAACTAGAGGAATTCGGAACTAGGGGAAATTGGAATTCGGAGAATTTGGAATTTAGGAAATCTGGAACTAGGGGGATTTGGAACTAGAAGAATTTGGAACTAAGGGAATTTGGAATTTGGCGAAATTGCAAGTAGGGAAATTTGGAATTTGAGAAATTTGAAACTAGGAGAATTTGGAATTTGGAGAAATTGGAACTAGGGGAATTTGGACTTTGCGAAATTTGGAACTAGGGGGAATTCGGACTAGGGGAATTTGGAACTAGAGGAATTTGAAGCTAGGGGAAATTGGAATTTGGAGAATTTGGAACTAGGGTAATTTGAGAAATGTGGAATTTGGGAAATTTGGAACTAGAGGAATTTAGAATTTGCAGAATTTGCAACTAGGGAAATTTTGGTAATTTGGAACTAGGTTAATTTGAAACTAGTGGAATTTGAAATTCGGAAAATAAGAAATTTCCAAAAAATTCACTAGATTTGAAATTCAAAATTCAAAATTTCCTCCAAACTAAGTTTCAAAGTCTACATTTTCCCTCTCGCCATAAAATCTATTTTCTCTGAGAAAAACACCTACTTGTTCACATTAAGAATGATCACGTAAGAAGTTGTCCTTGAATTTTTGAAACATTATTTGTTCACCGCCGAATGAAATTTTGTCACCACAGTCTGAACTCAACGTCGATTCGACGCGTGCGAGTCGCCTCTATCGCGTAGGAGTTTATCAGAGACCCAGGCTGCTTCAATGTTCCTTGTTTCCTGTAGATTCATCTGAAAAATGTGTCCCTCAGCGTTTCAGTTAAGATATTCTCAGCCTACTTGTCGATGAAATTTTTGATTACGTTATTTCTGCCGGAGGATTCGTTAGAATTCATTCTTCACTGTTGCGAGTCCCGCAGGAATCACGTAATGTGTACATAGCTACTTTTATGTTCATCGATTTCAATCCTTTTCTTTATCCTGTGAGCAGAATAATAAATAATGGAAAAATGAGACGTTCGAACACGTGTATTCACACGGACCATTAACAGGTGTAGTGCATTTTTTAGGTATGTTGATCTGTTCATTAATAGTTACGACTTGTTTTCCTTAGGACATTTGTAATTTACTCGCTTAGGACGCTGCTGGAAGTGTTCTCGGAATTTTAATTATTTAAAGATATTCTGGCATGGAAGGGTTGTTTCTTCGGTGTTTAATGAATTGTAGACATTCCTTTGCGAAGATAAAATTAGAAACGACTGAGACAATTGCATCTGTATATACTAGAAAAACGACATATATTAAAACTATAAAATTAATTAAGCGATAAATTAATTTATTAAGTATACATATAACAACATAGAGATCTACGGACACATAATTCCAGAAATAGGATTCCAGAACGTAGATACTCGAAAACATAGAAATTCCACAACATCAGATTCACGAAATGCACTTTCCTCTATGAAACAATCATCGATAGAGATCTGACTATACAGAAATCTAGGAATATAGGTATTCGAGAGTAGACATGTGTGCGCTATCGATGCAACTTGCACGCTATATTTCAGTATATATTTCAGCAACTCGTGGGTGTTTTCGTTCATGTTTTTCGAAGGATGTTCAGGGTTTAATTCGTTGCTTTGGCCTTGTTTTGTTGACCCCTCCGCTTGGTTCGACGTAGGGTGCATATATTATGAATGCATCGTCAGGATGCACAAAGGATTTTGATTATGTAAGAAGGCATTGGGTGGAGCGTTTGACGAATTGTTTTTGTTTTGAACGCTTTAGCCTGACTTTAACAACTGAAATGCATTATAATTGTTTTCCAATTTTTATGCAGAGGAAAGTGACTTGTATAATGTAATTATAGATTAGTTATCACGAATTGTACATTAGTAGATGATTGTTGAGGGAGACTAATTTAATTGTGACTTAATCGTACGACTTAACCTTGTTCTAACCTAACTTGATGTGTAATACATGTACATATACTATATGTACATTATATATGTATGTATATATGTATATATTATATGTATGTTATCTATATACTCCTCTCTTATATTCCCAAATTGTTGTATGACAAGATTTCTGCATTTTGTGATCTTTAGTTCCTCGAATCCCTAAATCCCCAAATTGCTATATTTCCAAATTGTTATAATCCAGATGTCTGCGTTCTAGGATCCCTACGTCCCCAAATACCTAAATCTCCAAATTCCTATATTTCCAAACTCTCATATCCCCAGATTTCTGCATTCTGAAATTTCTGATAAGCCGAATCTCTAAATCCTTGAATTGTTATATTTCCAAATCGTTATATCCTCAGATCTCTACATTCTTGAATCCCTACGTCACCGCATCTCCAAAATTCTCAAATCCTCAAATTGCTATATTCCCAAATCTCGATGTCCCCAAATTGCCATATTCCCAAATCCAGATATCCCCAAATCTCTCCGTCCTCTACAATTCCAAATCCCCAAATCGATGTATTCCCAAATATTTCCCAGTATGCCTAATTCTCTCTGTGCTTCCACCACTACCTGCCCAAATCCTTAACTCTCCACATCTTTAAATTGTTAGACTCCTACGCGTGGAGTTACTACGCGTGGAGTTACCACGCGAGGAATTACTACGCGTTGAATCACTACGCGTGAAATTACTACGCGTGAACTTACTACGCGTGGAGTTACCACGCATGGAATTACTACGCGTGGAGTTACTACGCGTGGAATTACTACGCATGGAGTTACCACGCATGGAATTACTACGCGTGGAGTTACTACGCGTGGAATTACTACGCGTGGAGTCACTACGCGTGGAATTATTACGCGTGGAGTCACTACGCGTGAAATTACTACGCGTGGAGTTACTACGCGTGGAGTTACCACGCGAGGAATTACTAGGAGATACTACGCGTGGAGGTACTATGCGTGGAGTTACCACGCATGGAATTACCATGCGTGGAATTACTACGCGTGGAATTACTACGCATGGAGTTACCACGCATGGAATTACTACGCGTGGAGTTACTACGCGTGGAGTTTCTACGCCTGGAGATACTACGCGTGGAGGTACTATGCGTGGAGTTACCACGCATGGAATTACCATGCGTGGAATTACTACGCGTGGAATTACTACGCATGGAGTTACCACGCATGGAATTACTACGCGTGGAGTTACTACGCGTGGAGTTACCACGCGTGGAATTACTACGCGTTGCGTCACTACGCGTGAAATTACTACGCGTGGAGTTACTACGCGTGGAGTTTCTACGCCTATAACCTCAAGTTCCTATATTTCCAAATCAAGTCTCTCCTCCCAAAATCCCTAAATTTGCAAATACCAATATCTTCAGATATTTACACCCCTATGGAGATGTCTAGTACATGCATATACTTAGGTATCTCCACATATTCTATACTGTCCACATTTCTCTATATTTCCATGTTTGTATAAGTCCAAATGAAGTCCAGCTCCGAAGTGTCTCGCCCCCACACAACTGCAGGAAGCCTACGCTATCGCACACAAGCGAGCGATCAGCGCGACTCGTTGGAAGGTCGTTTTCTTTCCTCCGGCTCTCGTAGTATACTCCAGCTTAGCTTACGCGACGGTTCACGCGTCCGCTTCAGTTGTAGCGCAGCTCTCGCAGCGTGCAGTCGCGTCCTCTTCGTGCCTCCACCTCTCCTCGAGGCGTGCTATTCAAAAAACGCGCGACATTCTCGTCCTTCCGCAATATTAAAAATTATTTACTAGACTATTTGGATCGAACAATATTCGTACGAGGTGCACATTAAAAATCGAGGATCGTTTTAATAGTGATTGCAACAACGAGGAATGTGTTGTTGATTACTGGACAGTTCGTTTTGTTTCTTATTGGGACAGTTTTATGGTCTAGTGTCGGACAGTGCAATCGGATGCAGTCAATGCCACTTGTTCGCCGAGTGTAAACATGATTCCCGCGCATTGACGTACGCAACGGACCGCGCGAGTGCGGCCTGCACTCAGCTGTGAATTGGTAAAAGTGAGTATACAGCGAGGAATTGCGTGATAATGTTATCACACTTTCGCGGTACACGTGCGTTGAGTAAAAGTATGATTATAGTGAAAGCCTTTCATGATCAATAAGATAGAGCTCTCAAATACCATAGTTACGTTGCACTTTGCGTATATTCTAAATACACTTTGGGGAAATATGAAATGGAAGTAGTACATTGCAAGTAGCTCATTAGGTGCGCTAATCATTTTGATACGATATTTATTTATGACAGTATATCGAGAGCTTTATTTTCTTATTGCGATAGTTTTCTCGGAACACAGTGCATATCTTTTTGTTATATCGTAGTACAACGCGTTATCATGTAATGTGGCGACACAGCGTAGAGATACAATGCAGTGGAATTCAACGCGTAGAGATGCAATGCGTAAGAATATAATGCGGAGAAATTCAACGCGTGAGGGTACAACACGTGGAGATTTGATGTGTAGAGATACAGCGCGTAGGGGTACAATGCATAGTAATTTGTTGCGTTGAGATTCGGCACGTAGAGATACAACGCGTCGCTTTGCAATGGATAGTAGTACAACGCGTAATGATTCAACGCGTGGAGTTACTAAGCGTAGGGATACAGCGCGTGGAGTTACTACGCGTAGAGTTACAGCGCGTGGAGCTACTACGCGTGGAGTTCCTACGCGTGAAGTTTCTACGCGTGGAGTTTCTATGCGTGGAATTACTACGCGTGGAGTTACTACGCGTGGAGTTACCACGCATGGAATTACTACGCGTGGAGTCACCACGCATGGAATTACTACGCGTGGAGTTACCACGCGTGGAATTACTACGCGTGGAGTCACTACGCGTGAAATTACTACGCATGGAATTACCACGCATGGAATTACTACGCGTGGAGTTACTACGCATGGAATTACCACGCGTGGAGTCACTACGCGTGAAATTACTACGCGTGAAGTTACCACGCGTGGAATTACTACGCGTGGAGTCACTACGCGTGAAATTACTACGCATGGAATTACCACGCATGGAATTACTACGCGTGGAGTTACTACGCGTAGAAATACCTACGCGTGGAGTTAGTACGCATGGAAATACTGTGAGTGGAGTTACAGCGCGTGGAATTACTACGCGTGGAGTTACTATGCGTGGAATTACTACGCATGGAGTTACTACGCGTAGAGATACTAAGCGTGAAAATGCAACGCGTCAACATACATCTCGTAGGGATGTAAGACATCGCCATATTAAGCTTGCTTAGATACAACTCGTTACAAGAAAACGCATCATATAATAACAGATGACATTTATTTCAATAATCGTCCTCTATATTTCCAATAATTTTTCACTTACACTTCCTTGCCAGTTCACTCGATTTTGAAGCAAACTACCAACAAAATATATATAAATACCTACACATCATGAATATCAAAGCTCTAATAACTACTGTTTGATAACTAACTGTAAGTTAACCTTATATAAGGGTTTCCCTTCGATGCAAATGCACCTCTTAATTAATTAATACGTAACGAATATGATTGGTCTCCATTGTATACGGAATTTCAGTGGCGTAGTAATATTAAACGGCACAGATCGCGTTATAGGCAATTATTATTAACGAGGCGAATACAGTTAACACTGTGAGAATGGTTACCATTTTCTTGCTCTTCCTCGTTATGGAAACGTTTAACAATCGGGCCACGTACACTTCCTGTTGGATGTCGACGTCTGGCGCACTCTTCGCGAATGTTTAAGCTTCTTGGAGCTTCTGGCATGCAGCTGTGTTGTTTACCAGTCTCCCAAGGGTTTCACTTCAGCTTCCAACCGTAACTTGGTCCCCTGTTCGAATTACACCGATATTACATCAGGTCCGGTTTTTCAAGTATTCCTCGTCGATTTACGAAGACTATTCGTTCTATAATCGTGTAGCTACCTGGCAATTATCGAACGGCCTTCACGGTCATTATGTCCTTTTACAACCTTCGAGCGAAAGGCTGAAGATACTACCTGCTGCATTAATATTCTATTTCGAATAAATGTCTCGCTACGTTTGTTAAAACTCGAATGTGGATGAACGTTAGAAATTGGAGCAACTGTATCTGCCATTTTATCCCGTTTACTGGATTCCTGCTGGGTTTTCAGACTGGTTCTCTGATCGCTAATTGACTTTGTTAATACCGTAAATTTAATCTGTACCTTGGAGATTTGATCGATTGAATAATTAACGGTTTATTGATATTCAAACGGTTCACTTTATTTTCAATCATATATTACTGTGACAGTTATATTCTGAGATTGATCATTTTCAAACCTGAATAAGGTGATCTGGTTTATGCATTTATGATTCTAGTATGTGGCATAAGATGCACTCTGCAGCTGTCATAAATTAATTTATAAATTGTATTTGATAATAGTAAGTGTGTGTAGTAATGTCTATAAGAGCAGGTAGCTGAACAAGTAGCTAGGCATGTAGTAAAGTGGCTAGGCAAGTAGCTGAACCAGGAGTTGAACAAAGACTTCCTCACTCTTAAGTGCTTTAAAGGTCGAACCAGCAAGTTGCTCAACCTAAATATACCCCAAGACTCTTACTTAATCTAAACACACCATGAAGGTCCTACGGGTACAAAGGACTTTCCTAGCCATAAATCTGCACACGGTCAGGGTCCTCAGTTCACAAAGGAACAGTTTGTCGAATTCACCTGAACAAACTACAATGTACAGAGGTTATAAAAATTGTACATTGATTGTAGGTGACCCTGAAGAGGCATGTTGAAGCACGTGTCGGTCTCGCCATGGAGAGGGCGAGCGGACAGCGTGAGTCTCGCTTCGAGCGGGGGTGCGAGTAGCTGCGGAAGCGGAAGTCCGACCCCTGGACACACACCACCGCCCTCGAGAGCATCCTCGTGTGCTTCGCTGGCACCCTTAACTGCCCTTTCAAGCTTCTCTCCTGCCGACGCCGCCCCTCAACAGGTAAGTCGACTAAAAGTGTTCCTTTTGACACCGATCGCGAATTTCTTTTGCTTGAGGTCCGATATAAAACCCGTTTGCGACTGAATGGGCAATAACGAACAAGAGGGATCCGGATGAAAAAAAAGTCTGTGCGTCATCCAGTGAAAGAGATCGAAAGTCACACGGGAGGGTTGGAAAAAAAAGAAGCAATGACGTGGTTGCTTAATAAAGCAAACTAGGAGAACAGAACGGTTAACCATGACGGGTGAAACGGTTTCGTGAAAACGAGAACAACACGATTCCCTGCACTTATTAACAGCTGGACCACGTGTGTCCTTGCCTGGCTAATGGGATTCATCGACGTGACGTGTGTTTAATCCACGATTGTTTCCGACGCACTGCCTCGCTTGATTACTCTCGCGACGGAAATAGCGGCGATTATTTTCGATTACGCAAACAGGACGATAAAACGTGGACACGGTGCTTCATCCTTTATTTCAATAATCGCGTCATCAATTACGAATCGTTTCGAAATTATTTGGAGGTCATTTGGACATGTTAGGTACATTTGTCTTCCATACACAGTTCTCCTAGCACCTTCTATTAAAACAATATGTTATCTGAAAACAGTATACCTCCCCTACAAAACACAACAATCATTATTGGAATCGAGCAACGAATCGTAAACTTATAGCGTTTAATGCGACAGAACCTTTCGTCACCGTGTCACAAAATCACGAGCAAGCGCAACAAATTGCTCGCGTTGAATATTGCGAGGATCTTATCAAAACAGCCAGACGAAACTGTACATTCCTGGAATCAATTGTAACTAGTGATGTGACTTGGTGCTTCAAGTATGAACCTCGAACAAAGCGCCAAAGTGCTACGTGGAAATCTCCAGGCTCTCCAAAATCAAAAAATTGCGATTCCAGAAGTCCCTCGAGAAGACAATGTTAATTTGCTTTTACGATTCTAAAGGAATTATACTTCGGGAAT